ACAGTATTTCGCGCGGAAGGCGGAATGCAACGAAGAGTACCAGGAGACGATGCTAAGCTGGACGCTCGCCTCGGGCCGAGGGCCTCATAGAATGTTTGTAGTTAAAAGGAAAATAAGAACCTCATTGTGTTCCAATGAATGACCACACCATTGAACCCTTGTCGTGTATACTTGGCACCCTCCAGAACAACACGATCCAATGAGTGTTTCCCGAAACCCACGCTGTTTTATTCATCTCTTACCACACCCAATCAAAAAAAGAGTGTTCTAGAGTCTCCTCGGCGCTTCTCGGGAATCTCTGTGAGTGTCTCCGAGACTTCCCTCTCGAGTGTCTCCGCGAGTCTCCATGGTGGGTCCTCCTGAGGGGGTCCTACGCCAAGAAGAGTTTAGTAGTCTGGCCCGCGCGTTGTCTCGGCGGAGACGCCGGGCTCGCTAATGCGAAACGAATGCTCGCGGGGTAATCCGCGACCGCTCATGTCGGGCCGGGTACGGCAGCAGAGCAGATGGGAGTCCGACTGGGACGCTTGGGATCAGCAGCGCCCCGCTCACGGTGGCCCCGCCGCTACGCCCGGGGCTGCGCCGGACAGGGCCCGCTGTGTGGTCCGGCGGGCAACCAGCCGGTCCAGTGAAAGAGACGCGAGGGTCGCATGGAGAGCAAAGGGATGGTGGTTAAGCCCGTCCGGCTACTCTCATGGCCTTCCTTACATCCTCCTCCAGTTCCCTCCAATCATCGCAGACCCAGAGAGATACTGGCTGTGGCTGCCCCCGCTTGCAGGTATAACCCCTCCCTCCCGAGCGCCTCCCCCTCTCCCCCCTGCCCCCTGCCAGCCCTCGACCTCCCTGCCTCACTCTCAGCGACGAGGCTCAGCCCGCGGGTCCTGCTCTGCGCAGGGCTGCTCTGTCAAGTGGACAAATGCTTCTTTAAATGGAGTTCCTCCCCCGTGACAAGGATGATCCCCCCCCTCCAGGACCAACCCCCTCTCCGTCCCCATCCCCTCGTCCCTCGCCGCAGCGTTACCAAAAGTAGACTCATCTTCACCCGGGAGGGGGGCTGCGTCCGCAGAGCTTAAGCGTATAAGAGATAAACTCCGTCCGGAGGCATTCGTTTCTCCACGGAGGCTCCTCCCTCCCTCTCTACCCTACCCCTCCTCCCCCCCCTCTCTCCCTCTCTCCCTCCCTCCTCCCACCTCGTTTTCCCTCCATTGCACCCCTCCCCAACTCCCGTACCTTTTTATGCCCTCAGCCTGCTGCCCCAAGCAGCGCCCCTCCAAACGCGATTTACGAGTCCCGCTCAAAATTAAGTGCGACTTGCCCACATCATGCGCCTGCCCCGCCCCTCCCCGCCCCACCACTACCGGGGACCACCCTGGAAGTTTGTGCAAGACCAGAGGTGGTAAAAAGAGAACAGGCGCCGGGATAGCTCCGAGCGAGCGACGCCCATGCAACGCCCCTTAACCTCCCACCTGACCTCGGCGCGAGCTCCACCACGCCCTCTGCCACGGGGACAAGAGGTGTAGGCGAAGACCACGATTGATCATTTGAGGTTTGCAACATTACTTTTGACTTTATTGCAACCATCCACTGATTTGTGGTCTAGGTGTACTTTTAAAAATGTTTTTATTATTGTTTTCTGTGTTTTTTTTTTGTTTTTTTTAACGATGAGCGGCCACGATTTGTACAGTTGGTTCCACTCGCACACCTCACCTTTCCGTGACCGGCGCGCTCCTGACCTACCGCCCCATTCACTCAGTGAGGTTCGGCAGCGCGGGGTTGTGCGCCTCGCCCATGATAACTTACACAGCCCCTTCTCCCTCCCTTTCTCTCACTTCTGTCTGTCTGTCTGTCTGTCTGTCTGTCTGTCTGTCTGTCTGTCTGTCTGTCTGTCTGTCTGTCTGTCTGTCTATCTGCCTCTCTGTCTCTCTCGCTCTGTCTCTTTCGCCCGCTGCGGACTGTGCGGCGACGGCTGGCGGCCAGCTGTTACAGTAGCAGCACCAAGGCTGCCGGAACGTGACCTGGAGGAGGGA